ATATATATATATATATATATATATATATATATATATATATATATATATATATATATAAACTACCTTGGCAGTAGCAGCACCTGTTTCCCTCTCCAGTGATGAGCTTTAGACCCTAAAAAACATAAAAGATACACAGCTTTATGAGGTGCTGTGTAAAAGTATTTGCCCCCATTCAGAGTTCTTAGATTTTTTCCTTTTCTTTTTTTTTATGTCTAAATGTGATAATCAAACAATTCTTAATATTAAAGATAGACAGACGTCAATGGCTCGGTCCTAGCAGGATGTGTTGTGAATGTGTGACAGCTCCAAGTAGGCAAAAATTCTCAGACAGGTTCTTTTGTTGATTCTACAGGTCAGGAGTCAGTCAAGTAAATCAAGTCTCAGCTGTCCCATGATTTTACATGTAGTTTGTTTAATGGCTTTTGTCCCTAAATAAGTGAAATCACCAATTTCGGCATTTGCTTAGCTGGTCTTTGGCCGATGTTAAAATATGTTACATGGTTTAAAATATTTAAGATAAACAACAAACCAAAACCAGAGGATTTCTGTAAGGGGAAAATACTTTTTCACAGCCCTGCATGGATCAGGTGAGGAGCTTCAGTAGAAAGAAACATCCTGTAATTACAGTGTCAGTGACTCGGGTTCACATAAAGGTTAATAAAGAAAAATGAATAATATTTACTTAAGTGAATGTGTTTGCATGTAGAAGAAATATAAGCACTATTGCTTAGCTAATGCTGATTAATTTACAATTTTGCTTTAAACTAAGATTCTCAGCTCAGTCTCACAGTGAACACAGTGTAGCTCTGACACATGTCCTCTCACCATAGGGCACCCGGTGACTGCGTATGGACAGTAGGGGGCGCACTGCACCGTACGGTTGGGAAGACAGTGGCATAACTGGCAGGGCTCCACCTTCCATCTTTCTCCAACTACATGGGATCGACTGTGATGGCGACACTGATCACAGGGTTCTGTCTGACACCTGCACACAGACATGGTACAAAAAGTGTCGTCATGGCTACGGATTAATGCCCAGCTGGACAGTAAGAAGCAGCCAGCAGAAGTGTCGGTCATTGAAGGTGATCTCCAAGAAAAGTTTGTTTTACTACTCGACTTTATTTCCTCTAAAGTGATGGCTCTGATATCGATGAATTATTCATACAAACATCATGGAAAGGTTATAAAATAACAAAGTGAAATGGATGATTCCTACCGACGAGCCTTTCTGTAAATCCCTCTGCACACCCTCCCATCCACGTGCTTGGTGGGATGATCGGGGCTCCGGAATGACCACTGGACACTCTGGACCCCACAGGGGCCCAAACACTCTCCCCACTCAGACCATGACGACCAACCGCAGTGCACTGAGGGGTCAGAGACAGATGTGTGGGATCAGAACAGAATGGATCATGTGTTTATACATGATCCATTCTGTGTGTGTGTGTGTGTGTATCCCACCTGAGCAGTCTGGGTTGGGCCGACACCTCTGCGGCCTTCCCCTCTCACATACACAGAGGTCACAGTCCACTTTCATCTGCTGACCCGGCCAGTAGCGAACACCGGCCACCTCACACACACACTCTCCGGGTGACACACACTGCTGTGTGTGGTTCATCACTTGGCCTTCGGGGCACCAGCAGCCTAAAGGCGAAGAGGGAAATGTAACGATTCACAGTGACAGTTTCCAAGTTAGCTGAAGGCGTAATTATATGAAATCACAAATTTAAACTCTTGCTGCGGTGCAACGTGTCGACCGACCAGAGAAGCAGGGCGTCGCAGGGTCACAGGTCGACCCACTGCTGATGTGAGCGCAGGAGAAGGGACACGGAGCACAGCGGCGCCTCACCAGGCCAGGAGGACAGCTGGTGTCAACACAGCCATCATCAGGACATGGTTCTGGAGGACAGGAAGTGGAATTAATGTTATTACACCATGATCGTAGGACCATAAAAAGAACCGTCAAGTGGTTTTTGTTGTAATCCTAGTTCTAGACACTTTCTTCAAAACCCTGAATGTTTTTATGCTACACAGAAATACATGGAAAATGCTCTCATTTTCCTGGGAAAAATAAAGATTTAATGTGATAAATGCAGATGTCACTTTGTGGAAATGATTTGTTTTTGTAATTCTGTACACGTTAAATGAGTCAGCTGCACAGACTTGTCTGAAATGATACATGACTTTGATTCAGACTAAGTTCAAACCAGTTTACAGCTCAACCAGACATTTTGAAGACAGGCAGGTAACGTCTACATTTCTTAAAATTACCTTGTCATTTGATTTTATGAATAAATAAATGTGACTTTCATCAGGATAATAAAGGAAATCTACATCATATATATGAATATAAGTCCTAAAAGTAACATCTATACAGCAAATATAACCGGTCCTCATTCAGAACCCAGTGGAACACCATAACACATGATTCTGTTTAAATAAACCTGTGAGCTGTATGTTGATAACTCAGTCCTTACTGATCTCCATGGAGATGTTAGAGGGTCCGGGGAGCTGGGAACAGTGCCGACCTCCATAGCGAGGAGGACTGCAGTCTCTGAGCCTCACCTGCACCTCACCGCAACCACGGGAACAGCTGGACCAGCTGCTCCATGGCAACCACTGACCGTCCACTGAGGACAAGCAAAACAACGGCCATATAACATCTCACTCTAATTAATAAGAACAAATATCAAAAGTATACTTGTTCTCCATCTGCTTACCGGGGCAGGTGACATTGAAGCACTGCTGCTTCTGGGTGTGTTGGCCCAGGCAGCGGTGAAGTGGGTCACCTGGGGGGCAGGATCTCCGCCGACTCATGGTACCTGATCCACAGGAGGCGCTGCAGGAGCTCCAGGGGCCCCAAGAGCCCCAACTCCTACATCCATGCTCATCTGTGGGCCCTCCAGATGGGGTTAGTGAAGAGTCAGGACAGTCTGCTACACCATTACACACCTGATGAAGAACATCATCAAGACACTCAATAATTTCTTGACACAATCCAAAAAGTTTCATTTTGAAACATCTAAAAATGTTTAATTTTTAACAGATGTTTAAGTCTTATACATGGGTAAATATACATTTTGATTCTTTCCTGATTTTGCTCATCAAATCACCAACTTTATTAAAGAAGTTTGTGTGCCAGCGCTGATCAACATGGTGGTTAGATACACACCCTGTTGAATGGTAAACAGCTTCCATCCATACAGGTGAACTCAGAGCAGGGCGCAGACACGTTTCGACTGCCAGGGGGCGCTGCTGAAACGGTTTGATCTGGAAACAGGAACATGTTTTAGCAAACAGATGTTTCAAAAGAGCACTGACAACTGTCACATCACTTCCTCTTCAGTGTTTCCTGTGTTAAATATTGTGTATGAAATTCATTTTCCAACTCCTGATGAAACTTGAACCTTAATCTTTGTATATTACAGATCATCACACCAAACTGCATAATTATGAAGTGGGACACAAAGAATAGATGATTTACAAAAATGGTTTCCCAAAAAAAAGTAATTTTCACCAGATTTACTCATATACCCCTAAATAAAACGCAGGGCAAACAATTTCCTTCAGAAGAACTAAACTAAACGTTAAAAAAAAAGAAAGAAAAAACTAGATCCTATTATACAACTTGCACTGCTTCAAAAAAATCAAATATAACCTGATATCCTCTGCTTCCTGAATCCTTTTGCAATGAATTAACAATGTCAAATTTTATTTTCGAATTACTAAGGCTCTTTAACTTGTTTCTCTGAATCTGGTAGTTCCTACAGTGCAGAATAACATCTTCTATTGTCTCATCTTTGCCACTTTTTTCACTGTAATGTGAACTCACCACACACCAACTCATCGTCGCCGCGTGGGCAGTCAGGGACGCCATTGCAGACTTGGGTCACGTTCACACAGGTGCGGTTGTCACACGGGAAGCTTCCCGGACAGGATGGTATCTGAGCGGAGCCTGGGAGATGGACGGTTCGTTTCCAATGCAACAAAACGTTAAAACATTTCCTCTGTGGATCCGCCACGCTCACACGAGCATTACTACAAACTCACCACAGGTGTTGACGCTCTCATCGGATGCGTCTCTGCAGTGGGGGGTTCCGTCACAGAGCTGCTGGTAATCCACGCACTGGTCCCCACTGAGGCAGAGCATCTGGCCCGGTCCACAGGGAGCAGCACACTGCAGCTCATCACTGCCGTCCACGCAGTCCGTTTCCCCGTCACAACGCCACGCCTGAGGCACACACTGACCCCCGCTGGCACACCTCAACTCATAGGACCTACAAACTGCAAAAACGGAGCTTTCATTGACAAAACTTAACATTTATCTTGGAAGATGTTAAGTTACCATCACTTTAGCGATGGACAGAAGTCTGATCCTTTGTAGATACATCCCTTTCTGTTAGATTAGGATTCAGAAAACCTTTGAAAAGAGCCAAGACTCGTTGAATGAAGCTTCAAAAAGTATTTCAGGGCATGTCTCAGACCGGCACTCTTGCCTACATCCTGTAGTATTTTGGCTTTGGAACTCTCTACTCTGAAAATGTATAGAAGAAGGTGTGAAAAAAACAGAGGTTGTTTTTCTGTGTTGGTATGATCGACATCCAGGCCAGTTTCAGGAGAGAGAGCACCAGCTGCTCTGTGGAAGACCTTCACAGTCAAACAACAACTGGGAATTGAGACACTAAAAGTTGAATACCGTCTTTAAGAGTAATAATACTTAATGGATTTATATAGTCATTATTTCTACCAGTTATTTATTTAAGATCGTTTCTTACCTGAAGATGGTGTGACAGGTGACGGAGTGATTCCAGCGGAGCAGCTGGTTCTGTTCTCATCCTCTTGGCCTGCACAGTCCGCTGCTCCATCACACAGCTTCGTTTTGGCAACGCATGAACCGTCGCTGCAGGCAAACTGATGGGGAGCACAGGTCACTGCAAGGCCAAGAAAACACACGACATGTTGAGTCACTTAAATTTAAGACACCAGAATATGTCGTTTAAAAGGACATGAGGTAAGAATAGAGAAATGAAGCTTTTTTATCAACGTTTTTAAAGGGGTATGGACATAAGCAGTGTCAGACATGTGAAATACTTTCGACCAAACAAGCCAAACCAGCTGTGTCCAGTTGGTGGCTGATGCACCAAGACAAAGTTTGGGATTCCTTTCCTGTTCTATTCAGACTTGTTGATGCTTCCAAAAAAGTTACCCAAAAGTTAGTTTAAGAATTAGAAGTTAAAAACTGAAGTATATGAACCATTGACTGCATTGTTTTGCATCTATTCCAGGTCTTTTTTTACCCAAATCTTGTGCAAGCTAATTCCCAAGCCCCCAGCGTTGAGCATTGTCTTGTCTGTAGAGACATTAGAATGTTACTATTCACCTTTCTTTGGGCAGACAGCTTCATCTGTTCCTGAAGGGCAGTCTCTGTGTCCATCACAGAGTGTGTGTGCAGGGATACACCGATCATCAGGACATTGAAACTCTCCTGGTGAGCACACACACCTGCAAATCACAGAGTCTGGTTGAGATCAGAATATACTGTTTAAAAGGACACGGCTGTAATATGAGGTCACCAAAAGAATAAATTACCTTTCAGTAAATCTTAAAAAATACTGCTTGTTGTTTGAAATATTAGCATTACTGGCACTGATTCAATGCTAGCAGACAAACTATACAAAGGAACCAATTTTAGTCTCTTAGATGCTCAAAAATGTGCTTAAAATCTCAAAAATTAGAATAATCAAAGGAAAACAGACCCTCTTTCATCACTGAGGTCTCCACAGTCATCATGGCCGTCACAGCGGTGGATGTAGAGGATGCAGCGTCCTCCTGGACACAGGAACTCCCCTTCTTCACACACCACACCACAGTCTGAACGGGTGATAGATCACAACACAAAGCAATAGAAGAGCAGCTCATAAAAACGCATCAGCAACATGAATGAACATGGATAAAACATACATGAAGTTAATTTATCAACCAGCTGGGAATCACATTCTCTGTGTCAGTTTACCTTGCTCATCAGAACCGTCAGCGAAGCCACAGTCCAGCCGTCCGTCACACACACGGCTGGCTGGAAGACACTTTCCGTTGGCACACTGAAACTCTCCGGGAGGACACAGAGGCACCGGGGTGGGGGGTCCGCAGAACTCCTCATCCGATTGGTCAGCACAGTCTGGGTGGCCATCACAACGCAGAGCCAGGTTCAAACATGGTCCACTGCAAGGTTGGGGTTATCTCACTTAATTCACTTCAAGAGTTTTAGTCCTGCAGAAAGACTAACTGTAAAACCGACTCAAGTCATGACAGAAAATATTTTATTTATATCAAAGCTGAAATGATTAATCCGATTAATCGTGATGAGTCGATTATTGAAATACTTGTTGATCAATTTGATAATCGATTTGTTGCTAACAGGAGTAGACAGATTAAAAAAAAGGCATTTGCTGAAGGAACAACTCAGTCAGAGCAGTAATTAAGTATAAAAATATAAAAGGATTTTGCAATTATGGTAAAAAAAAAAAATCTATCTATAAATATGTTGCACCTTGGCCTGTCACAATAATCAATAAATTAAATATTGATTTATTGGTAAATTAAAACAAAGTCAATAATTTCTATTGGCATGATTTCTCATTTATCTCTTTCTATCAAAAGCTGGATGATAAAAGTCTTCACTTTGGTGCTTTAGTCTCAACTAATTGAAGGACAATTTTGCTTACAAAGAGTTTATAATTCATTTTATTTGTTGTGTTGTTTATTTTGGATATTTAAAAAGTGTTCCAGTTCCATTACTGATCTTTCAGAATGTGCTCTTGCATTATTATTTTGCCAATTACCAGCATATTACTTAAAATAGTCTCAAAACAACAATATTATCCTTTATCACAAAAACTTCTGGAACAATTTATCGTCCAGCAAAATGTATTATTGTGACAGACCTGGTTGCACCCAGAACTCCTAATATGGCAGGTTTAACTTGACCTGGTTCAAATTCTGTACACAAGAAAAATAAAAAATCTCCTATTCAGTGACTTTTGCTGTCCAGTTATTAATCAGCTGGGCTGCGTTTTCACATGTTGATGTCAGAAGGACTGTTTTAGCTGGGGGTCAGGAATCACCTCGGGCTGCTGGAACATCTGAACTGCTGTGGGGAGCAGGTGGATGGACAGACCTCATCCGAACCGTCTCCGCAGTCGTCCTCGTTGTCACACACCCACTGAGAGGAGATGCAGCGTCCGCTGGCACAGGAAAACTCTGACTCCAGGCAAGGAGGCGGGGGAGGAGGGCAAGACACGCCCTCACAGCGCCACACGCCCTCTTCACAGGAACTGGACAAAACGACAACAGGTGTCAGATTTCCAGCCGGTCAGTTTCTCTAACATTAAAACAGATTGATTGTTATTTTCCACATGGTTTTAGACGGACGGACCAGTTCTGACAGTGATTGGTGATGACACTTCCAGGCGGAAACATGGAGCCTTCCCATTCACAGGGACACTCGGTGGGTTCTATACAGCCGTCACCTACGGAGCGATATGAAGCACGTCGTTCTGAAATTTAAGCTTTGCGAACCTTATCTGAAAAAACTGTAAAGATTTTCTTTGGCTATTTTACATATTTTTATAGGGTACTCTTTGAAAAGTTACAGTAAAACATTAACAGCAATATTTAGTTTTTTTTTAGCTTGACATAAGAGAAAAAAAAGGGTCAAATTTTCTCATTCCTTTCTAAGTGTCACAGTTCCAAACTAAGTATTTAGCTCCAAATTAAGAAAGCTAATTATTTAATTAGCTATTTATTTAGGTTGCTAATACAAAATATTTAGTTAAGAAGCTATATATGCAATTTCACATGAATCAGACTGTTAAAATAAAAACTGGGTTTTTGCGAGTATCCATATAAACTACTGCTATGTCGTTTGCTGGTCCCTAATGGACCTATTGTAAATAATTACACCTTAAGTAGCACGTCTTTTTGTTACCGTGTCTGACTGTGCCAGCAGGGCAGAAGCAGCCCTCCACACAGGACAGCACCCCACACTGAGAGTGAGGACTCTGCTGGACACCGGGGCAGGACGGAGTGCAGGCTGGACCGCACGGATCATAGAGCTGCCCTTCATCACACTGAAGAGCTACAGGGAATGGAAGCAGAAGCTCCTTAAGGACAGGCTCACCAGCGGACAGGAAAAGTTAACCAAACAGTGGTTTGGGAAGTACAAAAAAATGAGACCATCAGAAATCATTTTTAAACTCTTTCTACCTTTAATATGACATTTATCCTGTACACAATTACTCTTGGTTAACCCAAAAATGTTAATAAGCCTCAAACATGAACGTGTAAGAAAGTAAAAGTGGGGATGTGACTTTGTGACTTTCTTAGAAGAATAGCTATATGTGCACAATTATTGGGCAAACACTGGGTTACAAAAAGATATTTTATGGAAGTTGTCTATGATTTTCCAATTGAATTTGGACTATTTTGCACCACTGATTCCAAAAATGACATGCATTTCTCTCAATCAGGTCAGGTTTTTATTCTAATTTGATTAACAGAAATCCGATCTTCTGACTAAATTGATTCATTTTTGTGACTCTGTCAGTTCATTTCCATTGATATTTCTCATCCAAGGCTTCAGGAGAAAAAAAATGTTTTCTAACAGAGTGTATTAATTAAATGTTACAAACTTGGATTTCTGTAAATTGAATAATAAACACTGATAAGGGTAAGCACATGTGAATTGAACATTAGTTCAGAAAGTCGACCTGATTGAGCAAAACCAAAGTGATTTTTGGATTCAGCTCATCAAAATGACCCTGAGGCAGTTGAAAAAAACCCAGACAATTTTTTGGATGTTGTGCAAAATTATTACGCAACTAAATGAAAAAATATATTCTTCCTACTTACTGTTTTCATCTGAATATATGAGAAGCTCAAAGCTCTTTAAAAATCATGTCTGACATTTAAAAACAAAATAGGTGATCAATGAAGACATTTCTTCTTAAGAACAGCGATCAACCAGTTTCTTTCACTTCGTCATTAAACGGCAAGTAGAAGTGAAAAACATTTACAATGTTCAGGTCAGACTGAAATCCCCCAAAACGTTATTAAACGATACGCTACGCTCTAAATTAAAACCATCCCTGAGCATGTTTGGAACAACTGAAACATCAGCAGAAAAAATCTACAGAGTGGAGCTGGAGGGTTGGATTTATGTTCAACTGAAGGTGGAAACAGTTAGAAAATGATTTATCATAGTCTCATATTTCTCCATATTGCCATTAAAAAAAAATACTATTAAAATGTCATTTGCGTGTTATTTGACATTCGGGGAGTGTTTGGTGTGTGAATGAGACGTACGGCACAGATCCTGAGACCTCCAGCGGATGTAGACTCCTCTCCGGTTGCACTCCTCTGCATATGAAGCAACAGCTGTGCAGAGACATTCACAGTCCCCACCGGAGTCACAGCTGAACGCGCCAGCAGAACAAACAGAACACATGTTCAGCCTTGAAGGAATTACAAACTATGTACTGTAAAACAAAAAAAAACAAAAAAAAAACTCCCCAAATAATAAAAACAATCTGGAATGGAAACCCAGTATTTTTGTTTGCAAGGCAACAGCCAAGATGCACAATGCAGATCTCAAAGCCACAGCGCTGTGATTATATGCGTCACTCACCCACAAGCATCAAAGACACACCAGTCATAATACTGCTGGAAGGAAACCTCAGCATGGCAGCGTGAAAACAGCTCCTGAGTCAGCACTGCACACCTCTTCCTGGCCCAGGTCACTCTGTGGGGATTCAGCTGAAAAGGCAACAACCGTCAACAGCGGTGATTTGTGCCGCCGGGGGAATGAACACATGGACTGATGTCCATGGTAAACTTACAGCGCAGGGATCTCTGAGGTCCTGGTTTTCCACGTCGGGGCAGGAAGGGCTGACCTTCCACGAATTTCCAAACAACTCCGGCGTGGACTCCACGATACCTTGCCGTGTTGTGAAGTCGTTCTCCGTGTCTCCGTCAAAGTTCCCACACAGGCCTTCCACCTGGCCCCGCAGGTGGGGCGCCAAGCGCACGTACACACGCATCCCTGGTGGGAAAAACAGAAACAAACAACAACACACGATTAGCTTCAATAGCAAAAATCATGAAAAACTATTACAAAAGAAAACCCTGATCAGGAAGTCGGCCTACCTCCATCCCAGAGCAAGGTGATTCCTAGTCGGGAAGACAAAGCGACAAATATGCCAGCTCTCTCCAGAGCCAGACCACTGCCGCTGTAGGTCTTTGGTAAGGAAACAGGCATTCCGTTCACCGTTACTGCTTTACCTGAACGCCACAGACGAGACACATTAAGTCACCAAATTACTTTCCTGCTTCCTAGGAAACATATTCTGATGAAAAAGATGCATATTCTGTACATTTGGCTCTAAAATAATCTTAAATGTGATAGAAAAAGCTGTCCACTGAAGGTTACAAACTGGTTTCTTTAAGAAATCCTTGAATTAAAGTTTAAAAATTGGAATAAAACAAACAAAGGCGTTCTTATTGGTCATTTCACCAATGTATGAACACAGACAGAACCAAGCCTGAAAAGGCTGCAGTGATGCCTTTTGAGAATGGTAATATGGGTTATTACTAGGGCTGCACCGATTTATCGGCCAGCCAATTTCCTTAATTTTGGGAGATTAGTGATCGGTCGATATTTACACATGAAGCCAATCTTATCCCTGGACCTTCTCTACCTCAGCAAAGGTCTAGAAATCAACCTCTGTCCTCTTCTACTCTCCCCTGAGAAAAGTTTGACTGACTGACCCACCAGGTCATGACCCCATGTTTACAGTTAATACTCACTCTACTGATGCCAACTCAGCAACATTCTTGTTATTTTCAGCGACATTCCAGGCAAAAAAAATCGGCATTGGCCAAAATCGGAATCGGCAGGTCCAGCATTTTATAGATCGGTACTCAGCCAAGAAACTGCAATCAGAGCAGCCCTAGTCGTTACCCAGGGTGGCATCAGAAATAGAAAAATGGAAGTTATGTGTAAGTTGTGGCCCAAACTAGTTTTCCATTAGTTTTCCAAAAGTAAGTCATTTTCTTACTTTAATTGTTTGCCAGTTGTGCATGAATCACATGGTTGTCTGTTATGTCAATCTTTCATCAAGTCTTTCCCCAAAACAGTGTGTGTGTGTGTGTGTGGGTGTGTGTGTGCGTGTGTGCGTGTGTGTGTGTGCATGCTACCTCTCAGCAGGTGTATGACTGTGTTTCCGAGGCTGAGGGTGACCGACTTGGTGCAGGTGACGCCGGTGCTGCCACACGGCACGTTCTCCGCCGTCACGCTGAACAAGCCGCTGTTCTCCCGGGCCAGCACGTACTGGCAGTCACCCAGGAACGAGTAGCAGCGGCCGTCAAACGTCACATAGTGTGGATCTCCGGTGGCAACGCACACACCGGCACAGACGGTCTGGGAGCAGTGCCAGCGCCGCTTCTTACACACACTGCAGGAAAAAAAAAAAACAAAAAAAAAATTTTTGTTTGTCGTAGTTACAGGGTGGGGATACAAACCCGCAGCTGTAGATGTTACCATGTGTTGCAGTCTTTAGTAATGGTGTCATTGGTGTAATAAAGTTGTCCGTTATGGTGACATGGACACTCCTCTGGTGGAACACAGCGATCCTCCTGAAACGTGTGAAGATGCAGACTTAGAACCACAGATCATAGCGCTCTGCTGCCTGCGTGTCTCCAGGGCCCCCCTACCACTAGATCTACATACACTTTATTCATTTCCAGTTTTTATTGTGATAACTTCAGTAGCTTCATCTTTATTCAGATATGCCTCAAACTAAATTTGGAACAAAGGGCCTGGGCTGATTGGCTAACAGGGTTGCAGGTGTGAGGGGAGAGAGAGCAAGAGAGAAAGTTGTACATGGGGGCGAGGGAGAGTACATTGGAACTAGGAAATGAATTTACCTCTAAAGAATCACTAAACATAAGAAACATGATTAGTAACTAAGACAGGACTGAACCAAAGGAAAGCAGAAACAGGTTGATCTGAACCAAAATAAGAACAGATACCAAATCAGGTCTGAGGAACCAAAACCAAAACTAAAACACCCCGATACCATGACAGAAAATGTACATCAGAACAAAACCAGCTTTACAGACTTTCACCTGCTTTACCAATGTTCACGACAGCACACAGATGATCATGTGAGGTGAAATTAATCATTTTGTTCAGACATGCAAAATCCTGAATGTGGGGGAAAATAGTTAAACTACAATAATCCCTACAACATCCATAAAACAGAACACGGTGGTGGCAGCATCATCCTGCTGGACTGCCTTTTTTCATACTTTTGCAAGGCAATAGAGGACCAGCTGCTTCTCTCTATCCTTTCTAGAAAGGGCTACAGTGAATTTTTACGTACTAGAGAGACAGTTCCCTGAGGACAGACGCAGCCAGACAGTGGCTCCCTGCAGCTGGAGTGTGAGACGCTGGACACAGGCTGATGGCCAGGAGGCTCCAGACTGGAGCAGGTCAGGAGGCAGGAGCGTGGAGAGTAGACCAGAGAGTGGGGGCACTGTTGTACCTCCTCACAGAGCTCCTGGGTGCAGTTAAACACGCCCTGCTCACACACGCTGGAAAGCGAGGGAGAATAATGTTAGATGCTCACGAAAGTTTTAAAAGTTATCTGAAAATTGTAACTCCTGCATGTGATACAGAAAAACAGTTCCAGATAAACCTGCTGAGTGGACTGAAATGCATCCCCGATCTTTCATGCTTGCTACATTTCTGCTCGCTCAGGCAGGTTTACAACACATCCAAAAACGTTCAAGTCAACAAAACGTGCTCAGCTTTTATCATAATCCTTTCACTGCCAAGGACTGTCGCTCCAGGCACTAAATTTATATGGTTTTGTTTATCTGTATAATCATTAGCCATTTCGCAGTACAGTGAGTCAGCTCAACAGACAGGTTGCTGTCGGCAATAGAAAGACGATGTCTACTGCACATAAAGCTTAGAGTGGATATCAGATCAGTTCCAGGCTTTAGAGGGCAGTTTGAAGAGACTCCATGTGTTGTGATGTGGTGAAGAAATGCAATGAAATCAACCTATCCTGGTTCAGGGAGCAGGATCATAGAGTGATTTCATCAGAGCTCTCCCACCACAGGGTCTCCTCTTCAGACAGAACGTGGCTTCCTGCTCTCTGAATGCTTTTTGACACAAAAAGCATTAGTTTGAGATTTAAGGTCAGTAGTGGCTTGATAAGTCAACTGAAGGGACTTCAGACTAGATCAAAGTCTGTCATTGTAGGTTTAGTGACGAGAAGTCGACTTGCTAAACATCTTTTCAGTGTCACATTCTAGTTTCATGTTTAATTCCAGTAACTTTGAACAGCTGAATTTCCACACCTCATCTCCACCATCAGATGGTGAAAGCGGTACATATAAACTCTGCATATCAGAAAGCCGTTAACTTTCTGATATGCTCTTAGATATCAGACATACAACCAGGTCAGGCAGTGATCAGGCCATCTATAGTGTCTTTCTAATTCCTTTATATATTGATATTAATCTATATATAAAGGAATGACCATGTTTATTGGTCATCATAAATAAGGTGCTAAATAATACCCATATTAGATTTAATGTAACTGTGATGTTCAACTAGAATCGCTTCATTTCATCAAATCTAACAAAAAAATTTACATTTAGTATTTATTCACTTTTGTAAAAAATTACACCAAATGATGGATTTGAGAATCAGAAATGATTGATAAATGGCCCAATTGTTTCAGTTAACTGTAGGTTGGGGACTATGATGACACTGGTGAACCATCTCTATGTTGATTCGGCCTTATTGTTTTGGCTCATGACTTTTCCCCAATAATGAACCACCTTCGGTTTTCTGACAGAGGCTTTTCAAATTTCTACTAAAGATATTCTGATCGTTTGAAGACAAAGAGATCCACAGTGTCAAAGACCATACTTAACATCGAGCAGGAGGTGATTTTCCAGAACTGTATCCTTTGTGCAATAATGACAAACCTCCCAGAGGAATATTGCTAAGAAACTCAATCTTAGCATCATCTGACCAAAGCACATAATTCCACCTGAAGTGCCAGTAGAGTTTTCAAACTCTGGAAACTCTACTTTTATGTGTAAAGCACAAGATAAGTTCATCTTGGAGAATTTGTGTGAATATCCTACACTTTTTTCAAGAAGTAATAATTAAGCATTGTTGTTCAGGTTTAGACATAAGTTAAGAAATACCTGACTTGACATCATTTGTGTAATTTCCCTCCCCTCTCTACATACCAAGTGTTGCAGCCTTTCTGCACCACAGTGCCTGCTGGGTACAGCTTGTCTCCTTCCATGCAGGGGCACAGAGAGAGAGGCACACACTGGCCTTGCTGGTCCTGCACAAGTCCTGCTGGACACTGACAACCTGGAACACACACGCCGCGTCCTGATTCAGAGCCGAACTCGTCACAGCTCCAGCCCTGACGCCGGTCTGAGCAGGAGCCACCGCAGGTATGACCGCACTCCTGGTACACCTGGCCCCCTGTGCACTGGACCGCTGGGTAGGAAGAGATCTGCTTTTAACATACGTGCATCTGGGAGGCAAACAATTATTTTAAATGATGAATGCGCAACTTAGATAGAGGTGCCAGTTGTTGAATGAACTGTAAATAAAAAAGTAATCTTTTAGAAGGGGGCCAGGGAGCATCTTACGGCAGAGTGTTTGGTTGCGCCACTGGACTGTGACGCCCTCCTGAGCGCAGTGTCGGCCGTAGGCAGTGAGGACGGTGCAGTGACATGAAGTCCTCTGTGGATCACAGCCACACACCTCCGACAGGCAGAGACGGAAATATGGCTCCCTGTCCACTACGTCATGACACACCTGCAGGGTGGAGGGTGAGAGGATTGTTTGATCAAGAAGAGAGAGGTAGGAAGACAAAACTCTCGTCATACACACCGACCTGAAAGACCAGACTATGTATGATGGCACACACTGTTTGGGCGTAGATTCTCCTCTGGGTGTATGTGGAGCAGGGATCAGCTGGAGTTCCTCCAGGCAGGGTACAGGGCTCACTTGTGAATTTCTCTGCGAAGGATAAAACATTGTTCTCCACATCTCCCTCTGGGGTGGTAAAGTCATCATGCTGGCTCCAAGTCAGAGTTCCACATAGACCACGCACCTTAAACACAACACGTGCATCCATTCACCACTGCTAAAGGGACATTCGCATAGAAATGGCTGCATACAAAGTAACTTGTTTTTTTTCCAACAGGCAACCAAATAAGCATTCAGGAATCTGTTTTTCTAGAAGTGGATGTCTAGGAAAAGGATCACATGTGGTCTCAGTATCACCTTGTTGGTAAAACCAGGCTGTAGGCTGATGAGGGTAAAGGATCCATCTAAGTACCATAGAAGTTGGGCTCCAAAAGTCTGGATGACGATGAATGAAGAGGTGGCCTTGCGCAAAACCAGGTCTCCAGTCGCCACAGGCATCATCTCCCGTTGGCCATTCAGAGTCACGGTGCCTAAAAAGAACAACACTGTCCTGAAACATAGGTTCAGGGTGGCTCAGGTAGTGGGAGTCCATTCTGTAAACAATGGGTTACAGGTTCAAACCCCCGCTCCGTCTGTCAAAGTCATTGTGTCCTTGGGCAAATCTGAGCATGAAACTCAATGAAAGTGAATGGGCCTAAATATGAAAAGACTAAATAAGAATCTACTCTGGCACAGTTAGTAAAGTTCACCAGTGAAACACTTCATTATCACATCCCACAATTGTTGAATGTGTCACTCTGCCTTATCCAGTGAACAAACAGTACTGAGCAAAGGTCTTTGTCCAGCCCTATTTCTCCACGTTTTCTTTCCAAGAAGCCAGATGTTCTGCTTATTTCCTAAAGTCAACTTGAACATTAGTTTCCTGTGTTGCCTAACATCTAGTTTAGCTACAGATAGCTTGTTCCCCTCCTTTTCAGTTTAGTCTGAAAAGATGAACATGTACCTTAATGTAGGAGCCATTGCAAAGAATTTTGGAAAACACCACTGTCACATTGTATATTAGAATCAGGACATTGTTTTTACTTGGCTTCCCACTTTAAAGATATTAAAAAGTAAATAAGTACACACCAAATTCGACTGAAATATAAAAAACTGATGTTCTTTTAATTCTGTTATTCATATTTAGTTCCTTACAGTTACTCAGTCAGTCAGCAGTTTCAACACTATGACATATTTATCCTAACTCACCAGTGTGTGTAACAGTGACTGTTGTGTGCAGAGCCGTCACTGTAATCTCCTTCAGACAGCCCGTTTCTCCTCCCGCTGCCCCATCCCCAGCTGTACACTCTCCACAACGCACTCCCACCGCCAACTTCCTGTCCACAAAGTCCTGGACACAAAGATGGGAGCAAACAGCAGTAAGCTTCCACCCAAACGTCTCAGTATGCGTCACTGTTTGCGTTATCGTTTGTGTCTTACCTCCACAACGATGAAAGGACAGTCTCCACCAGGCAGTGCATACCGTTTTTTGTCGAATGTGGTCACCTGCAATGCCCCCATCAGAGTGCACTGGCCGGCACACTTCTCTCTTGTACACTCCCACTGACCCGCCCTGCACACACTGGAGGAATAGGGACACATTATGGAGAATCAGAATGAAAAACATGCAAAAGGTTTTTTGGGATGCTGTTGCAGGACAAGTAGAGTCGTTTCTCACCAAGTGTTGCATCTCATCTGTATCCTGTCCCCAGGCTGGTGGATGCGCCTGCGGTGGAAACAGGGACAGTCTTCTCTTTTCAAGCAGAGACCCTGGTAAAGGTAGCGATCAGGAGGACACTCGCAGCCCCCCACACACTCCTCTCTGCACTGACCCACGGCTGCAGCAGACCCCGGGGGGTGAGGAGAAGAGCAGCTCAGAGGACAGGAGGACACACAGTCTGAAAAGACCTGTCCTCTGGAGCAGACACGACCTGGAGAGACAAGGGACATTTTGAAGAACACAGTCAAACAACCAAACTGCTGCTTTTGCATGACTTAATGGAGGATAAAAACATTCACAATTTTCATCTCTAAGTCAAATACTAAAATCTTATATTTCTGCACCACATAGTGCTGCGGTCCTCCACATTATGACGACGTGTTGTTCAGCACACTCCCGGGTGTAGCTGGCCAGGGTGTCACACACTGCAGCCTGCCTCTCTTTGGGTGGGAGGCTGCAGTACAGGTACTGACAGCTGTCCATGTAGGCTCCTGGATCCACCTGTGAGTTAAAGACACAACCTTTTGTCATTTAATTATAAACCACTATGGTTTGAATAAAACAGGCCTGGGCGATCAGGTTTAGGCGATTGATTTCACCAAAATGTTTCTTCTAACTAGCCCCAGTGAGTGACCCAGACAGAGCAAAGGATTAGGGGAGGGCCGGTGACCTGCAACTCTTGGATGTCTCCCAGGTTCAACACTCTTCAATCAAATAGTTGAATCACCTCCTAAGTGCAGTCAAGAGTCGTGCTAATGACCTCATTATTTTGCCTCAGACCATGAGAACCCATTCTTAAACAAAGAATGTATCTACCACTATCCATTTAATGCATTTGAAGAGTTTTGACATTATATACAGATTTATTAGAGAAAAACTGATGTTTCAACACATTCATCTCTCTTAATCATGGCTAGCATGAATGATTTGGAAATGTTGACAGGTTCTTAGAAGTACCAGATTTGATTGATTTATATTCCCTCCAATGATATTCATGTTAAGCATGTCTGAGCATGCTAGGTGATAAACACCAACAATGTCTCCTCTCTATGGAGACCTATGGATTTTCTTTCTGTTTTTTTTTAAACTCTTCTGTCTGTTTCCAGGTTCTTTTAGGTAATGATCTAAAACAATTGATCAGGTGATGAAAAGACTGTTTCAGGTTAGAATCCAGCAGCAACCAGGATAATAAAATACAAGATCTGTGTGAGGTGTGTGTGGTTATTAAAGATAAATCTAAACTGGTTAAACACATCATCACCAGGCCAAAGCTTTGTAAAACCTGGAGATTAGAAGTAGACCACAACGTTCTGATGAGTGGAGTGTGTGTCTTCACTTCGTTTCCCGGGTTGCTGACCTGGCTGTGGCAGTGTGTGAAGGGTTTTTCCAGCAGCTGACGACACACTGATTCTGCCCGCCGGCGTAGAGCGGGATCTCCTGTGACATCACAGCTGTGGCCAAGCTCAGCTGCATCACTGCAGTCCTGATGGACCAATAACCAGCCTCAGTCAGTAAGGCCCCTCAATGAAGGACATTTAGGCAACTACAGCTGTATTTGTACGACTTTCGATGTTAACAAAGCATCGTAATTTATTAGAAAGAGCCAAACACTAAACTGATCAATGAAAGAGGTGAAGACTCTCTAAAGGAATGTTTGAATAGCAGAACCTCGTTGTGCTGGTCCGGAATTTTCCATGAGTTTCCAAAACTGGCAGCGTATGAAGAAACGTCTCCAGCCATCGTGGTGAAATCATCTGTGATCGTTCACACAGACAGCAATTCAAATGCAGCTTAGAGAAACCAAACGAAGTGGGAAACTGCAGCACACCGTAGTGAACATGCATGTGGGAACTCTTACCATCAGCGTTGTTGTTAAAGACTCCACAGAGTCCCCTGGTGGTTCCCAGCTGCTCAGAGGTCACCGTCACATACACCGTGTTGACCATGTCGAACTTCACCCTGACCCCCACCCCGCTCTCCACAAACACATAGTCTCCAAGCCAGTAGACGCTCACTCCTAAAGGCAAAGAGAAAAACTCTTCATGTAAGCAAAATGCATGACTTTTGATTAACAATAAAAATCATTTTAAAAAAGCATTTTCACAAATTTCAATATTCAGGGTTGAATGGTGGGAAACCAGGCCAAGGGAAAGACTGATCACAAGCTACAACTTAGGGGGGGTTAAAATATATATCTTTTAATGCAGATCAGGGTAAACTTTAGATTTTATAAAGCTTGTTTTGGACATGAAGCTGCACTAAAGGAAGCAGCTAATGGTCAAACTGACCAAGTGAGGACGTAAGGAAAGAATAGAAATCAGTTATCCTGACATGACTTCCAGCTGACCTGCATGAAGCAGGAGTAACAGGATGGAGTATTTAGAGATAAATGTATAAGCACTTGTAGTCTATTACCTACAAATAATAGACTGCTATTTTTTGTTTTGACTGACTCTGAATCTGCAGGTCTTGTGATTGCACGTCCATATCAATCAATGTTTGAATAGAGGTTAAAGGTTGAGAGGTCAGCTTCCATCTTCAGCATTGACATACATGGCCGACGTTCCACCTCTCTCAACTTTTGTGTGAATCCAAAAGCTTTAGCATCACTTCATCAAAATGTTCTGGATGAGAGGGAAAACTAAATGACTTATTTATTTTGGGAAGAGATGTTACAATGGTTTTAAATATATCATTACTTACTTTTTTTTATTTGCTATTTTGTCATGTTTCAAATTACCAAAAAAATAAATTGTAGGTAAAATAAGAATAAATGATAAAAACAGCTTTCAAATGAAGAATTCACTTATTAAGAAGAAAGAGTTGTATAAACTTGTTTGATAAAGTAACTTCCCCTTGTGATTAACCACAAAAAGTACTATCAGTTTTATTAGCCGCACTCCGGCCTCACTACGTCCAGACCTCAAGAATAAAATATTCATAGGTTGCCTGACAACCTAAAGTAGGCTAATCTTGAAAAGCAACACATCATAACATGACCTAAATAAATTTATGACTTGATGAGACACGATGTCATTGATATATACCATTGTGGAAAAGGTTTTGAAACTATTTTTAAGGCTCTGGGACTCCAGTGAACCAATGAGTGCTGCAGTCCAGAAATGAAAACTGGTTTTTTTTTGTTTGTACCAAGACAAAAGTGGAGCGTTATTAGAGTTGCCTCCCAGTACATCTTATGTAAAACCTGGGCAGCATTTCAGAAACGGAACCAAAACCTAAAATCAAACATGGTGGACGTAGTGTGAAGGTTTTGATCTGCATTGCTGCATGAGACACTGGATGATTTATTGTGATCAATGGAACCAGAAATTCTATTCTCTTGTAGGGAATCCAGAAGCAGAAAGTCCAGAAAAAAAAAAAAAAAAAAAACTTTGCAAATACTGAGGTAGTTCCGTCACTCCGGTGGGGCTGAATTCTATCTCAAAGAGTGAACCAGAATTCTTCCACAGTGGTTTAAAAGTCTTCTAGTCTTTTTACTGCAAATGGCAGCTCAACCAGTTCTGAGGTTCAGGATGTTAGATTTTTCACATAGAGCCAGAAAATGATTGATTTTCTACTAACTGTCTTACCATTTTGAAATAGTGGCTCCCCATTTGGAACAGGCAGACTGTTCAGTGTTACATTTTTATGATGAATAGAAACCAAATCCAGACCCAGCATCATCCTCAGCGCCTGAAATGATATTTGCACAGATATTTGATTATTATTCACAGATGTGGTCCAAAGATGTGCTTTGTGCCAACAGACACTACATCCTCTACCACAGAATGGGCTTGATTGGGAATGGTCACCTTGTTACAGTCTCCCCTCTGGTCACAGATTGTACTGATGTAGACTGCCCAGGTGCCATCGGTAGATGAGGCCAGCAGGTACGTACAGCTTCCCTGAAAGTGGAAGTGCTTCTTGTCAAAAGTGCGATAGTGGGCTCCTCCCCAGGACACGCATGTGGCCGAGCCCAGAGGAACCCTGGCAGTACCCAGCAGTCCGCTCCGCACCAGTGGAGAGGACTGGGAGTCTAGAAGTGAGGTAGAGAGGCGGTGAATGTCAGATATCTTTCACAAGGCTTGGTGTCATTCCATTCCTGTGTAGCTGCTTCAGACCTGGCAGCAGAGTGTAGGTGCAAGTCAAACAGATTTGGTCCGAGGCGTTCTTCCAGCTCAGTCCCCACAGGCTGCTGCAGCATTGCTCCATCGGCATAAGCGAGGAGTTATGAACTCCTGGGAATTTCTCACAGTTCCATGTGGAATAGCACTGACCACGGACCCCAACACCTGAGAGACAAAGGAAACGAAAGATGAACATGTAGCCCTTGTGGTAATTTTGACAGCAGGTTTTACGCAACTTTTAGCAGTTTTTTTGTTTTGTTTTGTCTTGCTTATTTGTTTAAATCTTAACACATTTTTATTGACTTCATTTACTGCCATCATGTAGGAGCAGACCAGTGGTTTCTTCTCTTAGGGTGCGTTCACACTGCAGCCTGAAGTGACTCAATTCCGTTTTTTTTTTTTTTTTTTAACGTAATGCGACCTGTATCCGATCTTTTCATGACACAGGTCGGATTCCTTTTCGAATGCTACCCATATCCGATACGTATCTGATTCAAATGCGACCTAACGTCCAGGTTGCATTCCTCCGAACTGACCGTCACTGATTCTCAACAAATCTCACTATTCTGCATCCTGATACGTGCACAAGCGGGACGAAAAACAACAACTATGACGGACTATAATGAAGATTAAGTTGTTAATATGCTGCTCTTATCGGACAACAACTTCAAATATATAAGCTAAGCTCCACCGTTAGCCTCCATGTTTACTTCCGCAAACAATGAGTACTTCTTTTTGTGGCAGTTATCAGAACACTGAGAACGCTGACGCTATGGCGCCCTCTACTGCGCATGCGGTACACTTTCAAGAAGTTTGCCCGTTCAGACTGCAGAACGCATACAGGAGCATTCTTGGCAGTGTGAACGGCCCCGGTAAAAAAAATCGGAATTGACAAAAAATCGGAATTGGGTCACTTCAGGCTGCAGTGTGAACGCACCCTTACCCTGAGAGCAGTGAGGTCCTCCCCAGCCCTCACAGCAGGTCCTCACTGTCTTATTCACGGCTTGACTCTCCATCTCCGGCGGTCTGAGGACAGAAACGTGCAAACTAAACCATAAACCATAACATACACAGGTTGTCTTAAGGTTTATATCTACAAGGAAGAATTTCTTTCTACTCACACTATTTGTTTATTAACTAACACAGAAACAATTAGTGTTTAAATGTTATTGTCATTTTTTATTATTATTATTATTTGAGAGAGAATTTCAAACAAAATTCAGAACAAATGAACAGCCTCACTCAAAAAGAAATCATGATTTTTCTGACTTTAAATTTGTGTCACAAATAAATAATTTAGATCATCAAACTAATTTTATATCAAAGATAAGCTATGTGAATAAAAAAATAGTTTTCCCAGTGATGATATGTGGTTGTGTCACCCTGGTTAACAGCTAAACGTGTGTCATGCAGCATGACTCATGCTGCATATTATGAAATCAACCTGAGACCAGGTAAATACAGGGTCAGTATGGCCAATAAAGAGACTGATACTGATACTGATATCAGTACCGATATTGATACTGATGCCAATAACTTCTGGCATGTGGTATTTTTCATTTTGTATTTTATTTAATGCTACATTTTCGCAAAACCTTATAAAAACAAACAAAAGAAATCTGAAAACATATTTGCTGAACAAAATGATGTATTTGTAACAGAAACATTCTGTTTAAAAGAAAAACATGCAGTGCCAATCCAAAAAAGTGGATTTGCCCTTCAATGGTCAGTAAAAATCATTCTATGATATATTGACACATACAAAGACTTTTGTATATTTTGTTTGTGCCTGACTCAAATTTAATCATCAGAGTCTGATTACCAAGTTCTTGCCTTATAAAGGAAACATGTCTAGCAACTTAAACATTATATTTTCACATGAGATGACGTTTTACAGAACCTTCTCCTCAGCTTACTTGTACAAGAAGCAGGACGCCCTCTGTCCCTGCTGTTTGTAATATCGAGCGATTCCGTCGTCCCCTCCATGCACGGTGCGCATCCTGTCCACATCCAGCCTCCATCCCTGGGTGTTGTACTGGTACACTTCAGAGCAGCTCACTTCCAGCTGCAGTCGTGGGGACAGAACCGACTCCACTCTGTCTTCCACCACACGTTCACACCAGTGTCTGCAATGGGAGATAAACGGTTAGAGACAGGATTTCCAGACCCACGGCAGATTTTTTATTTTTATTAACGTATTTTATGATTGGAATTGACAGAGGCATCTTGGATGTTAAAGAACAACTACTTATAGGGAGTACCCTACTTATAAGATATTTATTTATTATTAAAGTTTTTTTTATAAATTTGATTTTGGAATTATTCTCAATAATCAGTAGAAAAGTCTTTTTAGACACCAAAGACATTATCAGACTGTAGGAATGACCAACTGGGCAACTGCAAGAGTCAATGTCTCTTCCAGCCAGAGGAAATATTTCTTTAACAAACATTTTTAAGCCTAAATATTAAAGACATGTGAACAATTTGTAGCTCAACCATATCTTTAATAAAATCTGTCCATTTTTAGCCATAAAAATCAAAACAAAAGGTTTCAGTCAGGAGATCTGCCAGTTCAAAAATCTGAAAAAAGTAAGAATTTTTATTATCTGTGTTGTATTTTATTGGTTCATTATTTGTATGTATAACTATTTTAAAGTGTTGCAAAAGAAAAAACAAAAGCTGTATAGTTTAATGACAATTAGCTGCTTTTCAGCTAAAGATTTGGAACTCATGTTGCTAAAATAGTGGGACAGTATTACGCTACTAATTTGTTTCTGTAAAATAACGTAACCTTTCGTTCAGGAAGCAGGAGCTCTACTGGAACTCACCCGGCTCCCACCACCAGCTGCAGACCCAGCAGAACCACAAGACCTGGTTCCAAGTTCATCTTCGTAATGTTTGACTTTACAGCTCCTATGGAAAGTTGACAAATTTTATGTTCCATTGTTGCATTCTTAAATTGAAATCTTATTATAAACTTCACATCATTGATCGTCTCCCCGAGATAAAAGACAAAAACAAATTCACAGGCAGTTCAAGACATAAAACCATAAAATTCAAAAAGGTTTACAGCCTCGTGAAGATTTGTTGGCAGGTCATTTCATTTTATACAGAGACAATACATAACACCAACTAAGACGATAAAATAGTTCATGTCTTCATACACTGATAAAAAGGAACACTCACCTTAAAAAGCAAGTGTGGGATAATATTTAAAAGTCCATCCCTCCCAAAAAAGCTGTCAATGTGTTTGTTGTTTTTCTTTTCATTATTCTTCCTGGTTTGAGAGTAATAAAAACTTTGAGAAGTGAGATGTGGCCGAGCTGAACTCGTGGGGGTTTTGAGTGTGGGGGACGTACAGTGTAATTTCAGCCAGCTGCCATTGGACACGAGGGTCAGGGTAACAGCTGGGAACACAGGTATTGGACACGGAACCTGTGACCTAAGCGCCTCTGATTTAACACCAACCAGCACTACGGGGGCACCGGCGGTAGTGTGGTGGCAGAGCCTTGGCTGCAGAACAAAGAGATGTTTGTCTGAGCTTAATCACGTAAAGAAAGGTGTTTCAGGAAAGATGATGAGGACATTTATTCAGCTAACCGTGGCGGCAGACATGAGGGTGCAGAGCTTTCAGAATCAGCAGTATCCTAAGTATGACCTCCTGATGGGAGTGAAAGGAGACTCAAACACAGCTGTGACCAGAGTAACGAAAGAAAAGAGAAGCTGCGGTAGTGATGTTACTTTGAGGTTCTGTCAAGGAGCTGGCAGAGCGCGGTGTGCAGATTGTGTACATGCACGCTAATCTCACTGGTATACAGCAGCAGTCAGTATATAGATAAAGATAATGAGCTGAGTCAGTGTGTGCTCTTCAACATTGTTTCTGATGAGACGCTGAGAGGACAAACCAGACGTACATACTCAGCTCCGGCCCTCAGGGACCCCTGCCCTGAGAGTTTTAGGTGTTTCCCTCCTGCCACACACCTGGCTGGAATAAGTGTGTGATTAACAGGCTTCTATTAACAGTTAATGGCTTACAGAGGAAGTCATGCAATCATATGAATGAGGTGTTCTGTAACAGAGAGACACATAGAACATGAATTCAACTACGATGGCCAACATGGTTATGATATTTGCTAAGTTAATCATTAGCATATTTTCATTTGGCCTTAAAAGACATATTTGTACATCTTGAACTTTTTCAGAGTACTGCAACACACCTCGATTTATTTCATTGGGATTTTATCTAACAGGGTACCAAGCATTTCTGTTCTCAGGCCCCAGCTCATCGTGAAAACCAAAGACATCCCCAGCAGGGTTTGGTTATGAAACAGCATCAGAAGCTCCTTAGCACTGTTCAGTTACAACAAGCCCATACGCTGGCAGTCCTGTCCTGTACTGAAAGCTTTCTTTGCGGAAGCAAAATCTCTCTGTTTGAAATTCTTAATAATTTGATATGTGGTTTATTTGGGTGCAGTTTAATCTTTTCATTGAAAGTGATGAGAATGATTTAAATAGTAAATGCTCTGCACTTGTAGAGCACTTTATCAAGTCCAGAAGACCTCAAGGCACTTCACACTACTTTCAGTCATTCATGCATTCACTGGTCATGGTGAGCTACTACATTGTAGCCATAGCTGCCCTGGAGCAGACTGACAGAAGCTAGGCACCGGAACAACGGGCCCTCTGACCACTAAGACAGACTGAGTGGAAGTTTGAACCAGCAACCAACTGCAATCTCCTTTATTCATCATTTTAGTGCTCCATTTCAATTTCAAAAGACATTTTTAGATGTCTAAAAGCTTTCAGATGCCTCCATGTGATTGGCTTAGTAACTTTTTTAAGAAGCCGTTGAGCCAGCGTATCTGATGAATCGGTTGTTTCATGCATCATGGAATGACAAACGGAAATGTTGGAGGTCTCAGTTATGAGGGAAAAAATACAAACAGCTAGAGACAAAGTACAGTATATCTGCTTGTGTTCACTTGTTCTGAACAATTCCTTTATCATATCTGCAGATAAAAATCTTTAATGGTTAACTTAAATTTGCTCTTTTTTTTTTTACTGGAGGCTCATAAAAAGGAAGTATAGTGGGCCAAGGTTCAGTCACTGCGGTTTGCCCCTGGGCCAGGCAGACCATCCATGATACAACAACATTTTTAAAATTGCAGGAGAATTACGATCACGTCTTATTGGAAAGCTTCATGAAGCATACATTAAAGGAAAATAAACCCCATCGTTAAGAACCTCAGTAATCACATCTATTAAAACCAGGCAAATTTCAATCTCAAAGAGCATTATACCACCTCAAATCTTTAATAATATGTGACACCAAAATCCTGTCTAAAGCCATGACCAGATGAATAGAAATAAAATGTTCACACATTCAATACTCAGAAATCAAAATGTCTTTGTACAGGTTGAGAAGTTTGACTAGTTTTATGTATTCATGGAATCTCTAAATGAGCTCTCTTTAGAAATCAATGAACAAGTTTTAATGGATACCTCTACAGCCACGTCACAAAGTGTAGGCATGGGTTAAGCATAATTTGGAAAGGGATATGAGAATATATAATAGATTATATATCCAAATACTCTTAACTTTTTTACTTACGTGTTTATCTAACTTACTCGCTCAATTTGTAAATCTTACATTATTTTCACACTTACTTTCTGGTAAATTCTAGCCTGAGAACCTGGATGCACACACAATGGATCATGGACAATTGCTTATTTGTCTATGAAGATGCAAACATAATTTGACTTTCTTAAACTTGTAACCTGTTGTTTGTTTGTTGAATCTGGTTTTTGGGTCTGCTGAGAGTTGTGATGTGTCAGCATGATGCTGTATGCTCAGTGTTGTTTTTGTACTGGTTATTGTTTATCATAAATGATCAAAATAAAAAAAGAGTGTAAAAGATTGCTCTCATTAAAAATCTGTTATTTAGTTCTATATAGAACTGCACAAAGCACATATCTTTTTTGAAGATCCAACACTGCATAAAACATGCATGGTCTGAGAAACTCAAGGTGTTACTGTTGCTGCAGCTGTCTTATCTTATGATTCGATTTTATTGGAAGCCATTTCCATAAAATATTACTGATCTGCTTAGGGACACACGTTTCCCCAAGCAGAACAACAATTAATTTCCGTTTGGGATGAAAAAAGTATTTTTGAACTGATTTATAATTCAGTTGTGTTGCTTTTTTTTCTTCCATCCATCTTTCAAATATTCTTTTGTGTTCCTGTTCCGCCCCCCCCCCCTTGTGAGGAGGGGAGTAACACGACAGCCACAAAAATTTGACAGAGTCCAGGTGAATGTTGTAAAAAGAAGGGATTTATTGATAACAAAAATCCCAGAAGGCTCACACAAACTGTGGGGGAGAAAAGGGCGGTTAGGTGGTGCCAAATCAAAGAAAATAATAAAACAAAACAGGGCCTAACTACTGTCTGTGCTAAAGAAACAAAAGAAAACAAAAACCCTGCCCATCTAATCTAACAAAAGTTTCCACCAAAACTTTACATGGGTGGCACCCACCTACTTACCTAGTGTATCTAACAGAAAAAACACCTACGTGATGAAATGTACAGGGTACCCCAAACTTACTTCACCCTCTAACTCCCACCACAAACCTTCACACAAAGAGCAACAAGACATGTATCAGGTAACAAAGCCAGTTGAACCCCAGCTCTCCCCAGCTGGGCTGCTTAAATAAGGCCTCCCTGGATGCTGATTGGCCCATGGTTGATGAGGATCAATCAGGGGAGATTGACATCAGCTTTCCCTAGTACCTGTGAAGAGACAAAGGGGGAGGGGAAAGAGAAACAAACAGCCTGGCAGGCATGTAACAGTTCCTGAAAGAAGATCGTTTCATGCTTATGGTGCCTTTTGGACCCTTGCTTAGTATTTCGTCATATTTTACAACCATCTGCAAACCAATCACTCAAAGTCTGGGCCAAGTAGGGCTGTAGACAGACAATCAGCAGCAGCTTCGCTTCTCAACTGTACCACAGACTTCCAAACAGCTGCTGAACCTGGACGACTGGACGAACCTGTCCTAAAGCATTTGAGGGACAACTGCAGGTAATATATTTTTTTTAACAATGCATGGATCATATTTCTACATCTGCATGTCAAAGGTACATGAAGGCTAATGTATGAGCACATCCTGAGACCAAAGCTGCAAAGAACAGGGTTTTGCACTTTGAAAACTGAGAAAAAACATATAGACTTAATAGTAGAGTGCAGTAAGTA